CACCATCTACTGTCATATAACAAAGCTGTTAGAATGTCACCATCTACTGTCATATAACAAAGCTGTTAGAATGTCACCATCTACTGTCATATAACAAAGCTGTTAGAATGTCACCATCTACAGTCATATTATAAAGTAAAAAGAGTCGTACCATCAAGCATCATATCCTAAAGTGGTAGGTGTTTCACCTGCTGTCATATTATAAAGCTGTAAGTGGTAGGTCAAGAATTATCCTCAAATTAACTCAATGTGTCAAGAATTTTAAACTTTTACGACTATTTACGTTTTTTTGTTTTTTACATAATCTGTGTCTCAACCTGTGCCTTTGAAAAAACAAGGAAAAATGTGTCGCTCTGATGTGTCACACTGATGTGTCGCTCTGATGTGTCACACTGATGTGTGGCACTGATGTGTCGCATTGATGTGTCAACTGTTGTGTCGCACTGATGTGTCACATTGATGTGTCAACTGTTGTGTCACACTGATGTGTCGCTCTGATGTGTCGCTCTGATGTGTCGCTCTGATGTGCCGCACTGATGTGTCGCACTGATGTGTCAACTGATGTGTCAACTGTTGTGTCACACTGATGTGTCGCACTGATGTGTCGCTCTGATGTGTCGCTCTGATGTGTCACACTGATGTGTCAACTGTTGTGTGGCACTGGTGTATCAACTGATGTGTCACACTGATGTGACGCTCTGATGTGTCAACTGTTGTGTGGCACTGATGTGTCACACTGATGTGTCGTACTGATGTGTCAACTGTTGTTGATCTGTTCTTTGACGTGACCTTTGACCTATGTCACCCCATGAGCCGTACACAAACAGGACCTTTGACCTTTATATCCCTTCCTGACCCGTCCACAGATATGGCCGTTGACCTATATATCCCCCTGACCTCCTCAGATATGACCGTTGACCTATATATCTCCTTGACCCGTCCACAGATATGACCGTTGACCTATATATCTCCTTGACCTCCACAGATATGACCGTTGACCTATATATATCCCCCTAACCCCGTCCTCAGATATGACCGTTGACCTATATATCTCCTTGACTCGTCCACAGATATGACCGTTGACCTATATATCTCCTTGACCCGTCCACAGATATGACCGTTGACCTATATATCTCCTTGACCCGTCCACCGATATGACCGTTGACCTATATATGTCCCCCTAACCCCGTCCTCAGATATGACCGCTGACCTATATATCCCCCTGACCCGTCCACAGATATGACCGTTGAGGTCCCGGACAAGAAGTCAGTGATGACCTATCTGATGTGTATGTTCCAAGTTTTGCCTCACGCCAACCTGGCCTCCCGCGCCAACAGCTCGGGGATATCGGACGTGGTGGTGTCCCCACCCGTGAGTCGCAAGATCTCGGCGGAAGTGGATATTGGTCACGTGACGCCCAGGGATAAGGGAAATAACCTCTCAGAGGTCAGTCCAGGTTTACATAATGTACATCTGTTGATATGTTGTCTCCTCTTGTCTATGTTCAAGGCACCATGCAGTATTGTTTCATCTCTTGTCTATGTTCAAGGCCCCATGCAGTATTGTTTCATCTCTTGTCTATGTTCAAGGCCCCATGCAGTATTGTTTCATCTCTTGTCTATAGTGAACGTGGGGTACCCTTTCTTCTCTTGTCTCTCTACAAGGCATGTGTGTGTGATATCACTTTCTTCTCTTGTCTCTCTGCAAGGCATGTGTGTGTGATATTACTTCATCTCTTGTCTCTCTACAAGGCATGTGTGTGATATCATTTCTTCTCTTGTCTCTCTACAAGGCACGTGTGTGATATCACTTCATCTCTTGTCTCTGTACAAGGCATGTGTGTGATATCACTTCATCTCCTGTGACTGTCTGCTGGGTCTGCCTTCTAGATTACGTCTATCTGAATTGTTTCTATGGGGGTGTTAAAAACACCTAGATACACACACACACACACACACACACACACACACACACACACACACACACACACACGG